GGAGTCTCACTCTGTCGCCCAGGTTGGAGTGCAGTGGCACACTCACAGCCACTGCAGCCTTGCCCTGCTGGACTCCGGCAATCCTTCTGCCTCAGCCTTCCAAGTAGCCTGAACTACAGGCACACGCTACCGCACCTGGCTAATTTTTACTTTATTATAGAGACAAGGTCTTGCTAAGTTGCCCAGGCTGGACTCAAACCCACAGGCTCAGGCAATCCACTCGCCTCGGCTTCTCAAAGTGCTGGGATTACAGGCTGAGCCACCAAACCTGGTCTAAAGTGATATTTTTTTTTAAATTCAATTTCCAGTTGCTTATTGCTGATTTACAGAAATATAAATGATTTGCATACATTGGTCTTGGATCTTGCAACCTTGCTCCTATTTCAGTTCTAGTAACTTTTTTGTAGATTATGAATTTCTATGTATATAATCATGTCACATTGGTATGCCTGTTATTTCTTTTTCTTGTAATATTGCAATGACGAGAGCATCCAATACAACAATGAATAGAAGTGGTGACAGTGGATATCTTTATCTTGTTAGTGGCTTGAGGGGAAAGCATTCGGTCTTTCAACATCTAGTATGATGTTAGTTGTTGTTTATTTTGCTTTTTGTTTTTGTTTTTGAGACAGGGTATTACTCTGTCACCCAAGCTGGAATGGCATGATCATGGCTCACTGCAGCCTCGACCTCCTGGAAGCAAGCAATCCTTCTGCCTCAGTCTCCTGAGTAACTGGGACTACAGGCATGGGCTACCACACCTGGCCAGTTGTTAGAGTTTTTAATAGGAATAGGTGATCAATTTTATCAAATACTTTCTGCATCTATACAGATGATCATCTGATTATTCTTTGTGAGTATATTCACTGAATTTCACTGATTGATTTTCAAATGTTAAACAACATAGCATTCTTGCAATAAATGCTACTTGGTCATTCTGACTTATATATTGATGAATTAAATTTGCTGAAATTCTGTTAAGGATTTTTGCATCTATTTTCATGAGGGCTATTAACTCATGGTTTTCTTTTCTAAAACATCTTGGATTTTGGCATCAGGGTAATACTTGCTTCATAAAATGAGTTGGACACTGTTTCTCTTTTATCTTCTGGCATAGTTTATGTGAAATTGGTATTATTTCTTCCTTACATTGACAAGTGAAACCATCTGGACCTGGAGTTTTCTTTGTGAAAAGGTTTTGAATGACAAAGTCCATGTGCTTCATAGATACAGGGCTCTTCCATTTATCTATTTCCTTTTTTTTTTTTTTTTTTTTTTAGCAGGATTTACTGAGAGGACAGAAAATCTCCCACAGTGGGAGGGGACCTGAAGGTGTTGCCCCATTTAGCTATTTCTTCTTTGAGTAAGCTTTGATAATTTGTGTATGTCAAGAAAATTTTTCCATGACATCTGTCATAAAATTGGCTTAAAACTATTTGTAATATTCCCTTATCATCCTTTTAATATCTATAGGTTCTGTACTAATATCCCTACTTCATTGCTGATATTGATAATTTGCATTTTTTATCGTTTTGTTGATAATTTTGGCTAGAGGTTTACCAATGTATTTATCTTAATCTTTTCAAAAGAAAACCTGTAGTTTCATTGATTTCTCTGTTGCTTTTTGTTTTCTATTTCATTGACTTCTATTATTAGTATTATTTCCTTTTTATGCTTACTTTGAGTTTCATTTGCTCTTCTTTTTCAAACTTTTTAGGTGGAAGCTTCAGTAACTAAATTTTGACCTTTCTTCTTCCTTTATATATGTATTTAATACCTTCAAAGTTCCTCTAAGCACTGTTTTAGTGTCATCTCCTATATTTTAACATGTTGTATTTTCATTTTTCTTTCTGTTTAAAATATCTTCCATTTTTCTCTTGTAATTTCTTTTTGGCATATGTCTTGTTTGGAAGTCTACTGTTTCATTTCTAAGTAGTCAGGAGATTTTCTAGATATCTTTTTGCTATTGATTTCAAATTTTCATTTTGTTGTTGCATGAGGTTTTTAAATAAATATCAATTAGGTCAAATTGGTTGACAGTTTTGTTCAAGTCTTTTATATCCTTACCGATTTTCAGTTTATCCATTCTATCAATTCTGAGAAACAAGTGTTGAAATTCCCACATTATATTATTGTTAATTTGTTTCTCTTTTAAGTTTTGTCAGTTTTTGTATATTTTGGTACATGCTTATTTATGATTTTTATGTCTTTTTGATGAATTGAACCCTTTATAAAATGCACCCCCTTTATCCCTGGTAATAGTCCTTGTTCTAAAGCCTATTTTTTTCTAATATAAATATAGCCACTCTAGCTTTCTTTCCATTTCTATTAGCACACTATGTCTTTTTCTATCCTTTTAACTTTTAACCTATCTGTGTCTTTATATTTAAGGTGGGTTTTTTAATTTTTTTTTATTTTTTTGAGTTCAAATGTCACTCTGGTACCCAGATTGCAGTGTAGTGGCACAATCACAGCTCACTGCAGCTTTGACCTTCTGGACTCAGGCAATCTTTCCGTCTCAACCTCCCGAGTAGCTGGGACTAAAGGTGCAAGTCACCATGCCTGGTTAATTTTTTGGTATTTTGTAGAGATGAGGTCTTTCTATGTTGCCCAGACTGGTCTCAAACTCCTAGGCTCAAGCCATCCTCCCACCTCAGCCTCCCAAAGTGGTAGGATTATAAGCATAAGCCACTGACTGCACTCAGCCTAAAGGTGGTTTCTTTTCTTTTCTTTTCTTTCTTTCTTTTTTTTTTTTTGAGTTGGAGTCTCACTCTGTTGCCCAGGCTGGAGTGCAGTGGCAAGCTCATGGCCACTGCAGCCTTGTCCTGCTGGATTCCGGCAATCCTTCTGCCTTAGCCTTCCAAGTAGCTGGAACCACAGGCATACACCACCACACCCAGCTATGTTTTTGATTTATTGTAGAGACGAGGTCTGGCTATGTTGCTCAGACTGATCTTGAACCCCTGAACTCAGGCAAT